CCCCTGGCGAGTCCAGTACACAGCTGTGCATGCCCATAACACACACACACACACACACACACACACACACACACATACATACATACATACATACACACACCCAAGCACACAGACACACGGATGACAGGTTCACAAAGCACTGCCAATGTTTCCTCCCAAACATAAACAGTCGAGGCTGTGAAATTTGTGGGAGATGAATGACTGATTCGTCCTTGCACCTGGGCTCTGAGGAGGCTCGTGTGTGTGGATGTGTGTGTCTGAAAAACCCCCCCAGCTGTCTCTTCCTCCACTCGTTCTCCTCAACATCTTCCCCAATGTTTCCTCCACACAGTTCTGGACAGTCAATCTGACTTTTAGCTTCCTGCAGCCCTTAGGATCTCTGACGATCGGTCCACTCACCCTGCTCTTTGATCTGGCGGATCTGGCGAACTGTCTCTTTGAGGATGGCACATTTGTCCGGTTTGACGTTGAAGCTGTCGATGTCACTTAGGTTGGCAGAGATCAGCTCAGCAAGCTCTTCTATGTATTTGCTCTCCTGCTCCCGTCGTTTCCTCTCACACCTGCATAAGGGCAATGTGCAAAGATTAGAGCTAAACTGAAGCACCGCCACCTTCTCTCTAAATTGCTGGCAGTGTTTAAAGATTTGACAACAATGTGAAGCCCCCTGACTGCAGTTTGCATGGCAGGTAGCCTGTTTAAAAAAAAGCAACTTTTGGGTAATGTGCTTTTAAAGAGTTTGTCCAGAATTTTTTTTTTTTGTGCAAAAAGTATTTTACTGAGGCTGTTTCCTGGAAGCATGGGGACAGAGATTACCAGGTGGGCAAAAAAATCATTGATGCTGTCCCCAGTGCCCACATCAACCATCGTCTTATGAAATCTGTATCACAAAAAGTTTATAAAGGAAAACACAACTAGCAGAGTAGAACTGAATTACATAAAGGTCAGTTTAGCAACATTGCTCTGCTAGCAGAAGATCACTTTCATTTCTATTTCACTACATAAAAAACATTTCTAAATCTAATCAATCCAAACCCCCCCCCCCAGGTGAAGAACCATAATGCTAAGCTAAGCTAATAAACATGCTGCAGTTGTTTTATATTGCTGTAGAGATGAGCGTGGTATCAAGCTCAACTCTGAACACTAAGCACGTTACTGTTCATAATATGAGAGTTTATAATATTATATATAAACCCTCATATATAATATGAGAGTTTTCTGGACTATAATTTTTCATATTCTTATTATTCTAATCTAAATACAGTCTATATAAATACATTTGTGGTTATCCCAACCATTACGGAAAAGGATAATTGAAGTTTCTCCCCGTTTAAAACAGTTTAAAAATTAGTTAATTTTTTGTCTACCATGTTGTTTACTTTACATTATGAGAATTTGCTAATCTTTTAAAAATACTGAAGAAGAAAACATTCACAAAGAAACTATATTATAAGCATGATTATCAATCCAAAACATTTAATTTAATACTTAATATTTAATCTTATTTTATTTTTTTCCACACATATTATTCAAGTTCTTTTCGATTCAAAGCATTTGAAGCCGTCACACTGGTTGGGCTAAGCAAACCACTGACCCAGTAGCCCACTTTTCCTCCTTTTTTTCTTTTTTTTCTTTTTTTTTGTGCTGATCCGACACACTCACCCCAGACCAGGCGTGTCACAAGTGGAGAGCTTGCGTTTTCGGTTTTCTGAGCTCAGAGGCTCCATGGAGTTCTCCCCCAGTCCGCTCATCGTGAACACATATCAGCACCTGAGAGGAAGGAGCGCACACCACACACACACACACACACACACACACACACACAAACACAAACACACACACATGGGTGTAAATAACACTTCAATAGAGGCAGAAGAGGGATTTTGAGTCCCTATTAGCCCTTTAGCTCTTATAATAAAAGGCAAATATGGGGGGAAAGGAACGTGGGAATCATGTTTTTGAACTCAGCAAAAATAAACAATACAGAGGCACGTTGTGAAGTGGATACATTGAAAAACAGCAGCACACAGCAGGGTGAAATATGCTTATATCATGCAAATCATATTCTCCAGGCAGAGACTGACGAACATAAACATGTCTCGTCTGCCGCCTCCTCCTCCTCCTCCTCCTCAGAAAAAGAGAGTAAGCATGTGTGGTTGTGTTTGTTTGTGTCGGCCCGTGCATGTATGAGTTCATCAGCTCATATGCTGCATCCTCACACACACAGGCACACACACTCACACAGGATTAGCAGTGTCTCTGATGATAAGCCACGCTGCACGACTAACCCCGTTAGACAGCCGTCTGTCTCCCATAATGCTTCACATTTCGTCTCCAGGAAGTGAGCTGATAAAGGTTGTGGGAGAGAGAGAGAGAGAGAGAGAGAGCGAGAGAGAGAGAGAGGCAGATGGGACGAAAGGAAGCGAGGAGGAGCAGGAAGATGAGGGAAGGAAGCGAAGAAATGAGGGAGGGAGGGAGAAGCCGGTGCTGTTAAGTGGGCTCTGATTGGTCACTTTCTTTGCCACAGTGACAGCAGCTGACACTGGGGAAAGGTGGGGGGTGGGGGGGGGTGGAGGAGGAGAGGAGAGTAAATGAAAGAGAGAGGACAAATATAGTTGAAGATGGAAAAAAAAATGCAGAGGAAGAAAAAAAATGCAGAGGGGGGGAATCAGAGCGAAAAAAGGCGGAGGCAGGAGGAAGGAGCGAGCGGAGAGAAAGAGAGATAGAATCATGTCAAAGAAAGACAGGAGGAGAGGGGAACAGGTGAGAGGAGGAGGAGGTAGTAGAGGAGGAGATGTAACATTCAGACTGTCTGCTGTGTGTTTTGAATGCATGTGTGGCGCACAGAGTGGGCTGAAAGCCTCTAGTACCCCTCTTAACCTTCACAGCCAGAGCAGCTTTTTCATTCCATTGATTACATGGTTATCCTCTGACCAGAGCGCTGCCCCTCCTGCATCGCAAATCAGGCCAACGACAGGGCCCGTTATTTAATCACTACGTACCATCATCTCACGCTCCTTCTTGAGGGATCAGAACTGTCCAAGAAAAATGTCTGATTGCATTTGGAGTTCTTTTTTTTTTCTTTTTTCTTTCTTGGATAGAGATTGTTCTTATATTCAGTCGTGTGCTCCAGGCTCGCAATAAGATCATATCAGTCTGGAACAAGCAGCAAACACACCTTCTGATTGAGACAGGATCAATGTGATGGCTGCTTTCATGCACGCCTTCAACGCCAGGTGAAACACAAGTATATTCCCTTCCAAGAAAACAACAGGGAATACTTATAAATCTTCTTCTAAAAAGCGAGAGATGCTCTGAAGACGCGCGGGCTCCTCTTGCTCAATCCCTCCCGCTCTTTCAGATTCCTCTTTTAATCTCTCCCATGAGTACCTCCCCATCTGACTTTCTGTCTGTCTGACTGTCTCGTTGCCTTTGTCTGCTTCCCTACCTGTGCCTCCTCTCAGCTATCCCCGCCTGCCTCCCTGTGTGCCTGTCTGCCGCTCATCGTTAGACAAAAAAAAAAAAAAAAACCCGCTCACTGTTGTCTGATGAAACCCACCACGAGGGAGACGAGGAGGCGAAGAAGCAGAGAGGAGGAGGCACGAAGTTGGAGGGATCAGAACTCAAAGAGCCAAAGCAAAGTGTTTGAGTGAAACTCCGTCTTTGCTCTACCGCCCGCCTGCCTGCCAGCCTATTGATGGAGTTCTCAAAGGGGGAGTTGCTCTAATTGCAGAGTGAATGAGGCGGCCCCAGAGAATGGTTGATTAGGAGGCTGCTGAATGCCCCAGGGAAATGGGTCACCTCCAGCCTGGCGTGGGCCGCCCGCTTTTTCAGCGCAGGGAGAAAGTCAATTACACGCCACAGGCAGTGGGGCCTGGTGGCAGAGAGGCAGCGGGGCTGCGCTGGGCACAATGCAGCAGCAGGGGGCTGCGGGAATGAGACGCGTAAAGAGGGAAATGGGAGAAGGTGATGGCAGTAAGGAGCGCAGCACGATGGAGAGGTGGGCACGACGATGGCCAAATCAAGGGAGAAAGGGTGAGATGCAGTCAAAGTGAGAAAGAGGAAATACTGGCTGAGGAAAGCACAGTCTTGTAGCCATAATGAGAAGATGTCACATAGATATGGAGAAAAGAAATGGCTTGGTGTATTTAAGGACACATACATTTATGACAATGAAAATATTCACACACAAAACATCGTTTCAGTGTATGATATTGTTTCCCTGCATTGTTCTGTCTGTCTTATTGTTGAGTTTGATTTGTACTGTCTCTTTTTTTTTTTAAATCAATCTTTATTTAACCAGGTTGGTAAGACAGACAGCAGCAAAAACACAGAGTTACAGCCAGACACACAAAGGGAGACAAAGGAATATTTACAAAACTCTAAAATTAGCTTTAAAAGAGAACCATTTATGAGTCAAATTTGAGATTCTTGTGTTTCTTGTCATTGATTTTGTTACATAATTTTAAGACCCATCCAAGAACAGGCACTGAGTATTAGCTCAGGCTATAAGTGCATTGGTTGACCTGCTTCATGCTCGTCCCTATACAAATAACATTTAATTAATAAATACTCCTATAATACACATAATCATGTATACAGGAACATAAGTAACTGTTGAGGTATAGGTCAGGCTGGATTGTTTGCAAAGTTGTACTCAGAAGTGACAAGATCTTAGCTTAAACCTACAAACCAGAGAAAACCTGAAAAGTCTAAGCATAATGAAAGAATACCGAAGGGTTTGACATTTCTGCTTTAAAATGAATCATTTATTAGAGTGGTTGGCACATATTTTGCCTTAGTTAAGAAATAAATGGAATAATTGACCAATTCTGATGCAGAAAAAGTGAACGGTGGCCACACAATGTCTCTGTGCTCATTTAAGTCTGCAGACTAAATCATTTAGTTGAGGATGACTCAGAGACATTAATCAGGATCAGAGGGAAGGAGGCTGTTAATCAGAGCAGTTACTGAGCAGCAGCTGTCTGTGGCTCAGCCAGAGGAAAAAAAAAAGAAAACAGGACAAAGAATTAGGCTCCCAACTAGCTGAGCAGTCACAAGAGAGTCTTTTTTTCTGCTGGTATGTACTTTACAGGTGAGTGCACACATGCAGGTAAGCAGCTCTGAACTTTCACTCTGAGTTTGACCTGCTTCTCAACCCTGATCTTGACCAGAGCGATTTCAAAGGGGTGAGTGCCTTCCCGCTGACAGCAGACCCACATATTTTCAGGGTCATTAGACAGGCGTGAAAAGAGGATCAGGTCAGGGCAGCATCATCACCCTGGGGTGAAGCGGCTACAGGACAGCAAACAGTCAGTGACCTCGGAGCCTGAGACCCAGAGGGGTCACTACTCACCATGAACCGCAGGTTTTATGGTTTTATGGCAAAAACAGAGGAAGCAGTTGACCTCAAGGACGACAAGGCGTGAAATCAAACACTCGTTAAGTTCACATGCAACAGGAAAGGGACACAGACGTGAGATAATCAACCCTTTGTCCCATGTAAGTGTAGCTAAAGGCACTGATGTGCACCAGTTTTGCGCAAGTTCAAACATAGACTAATGGAAATCTAAGTTCTAACTTATGACGGAGTTTATGCATGACTAACATTTACGGTGTTGCACGAGCTGAGATAGTTCCATCATACTGTAGGCACAAGTCATAACTTAAAGAGCCCATATTCTGCCCTTTTTGGGGCTCGTATATTTAATCTATGTTCCTACTTTTGTACGTTCACAATAGCTGAAGTTCGAAAAAAGTGTCTGTTTTCATGTACTGCTCCTCCTTGCTCCCTCTACGCTCTGAGTCCTTCAGCTACACTCTGCTGAGCCCACACTGTTAGACCCCACGTGGGGAAATTGCAACATGAGCTGCAGGGCTTGCCACAACGAGCCAACGGGCTTAGATCAGTGATCTCACACTGACAATGACGTCGCACTGACAAATTTTTATCGAGGGGGGCTAGAACCGAGCGTTACATGCGGCTAATGCTGCAGCTAACAGGAGGGGGTAGGAGAAGCCACGTTTCCACGGACTTTGAATTTTTGCACATAGACGTGCCTAAACATGCACAGGATACTTGGAAAACACACTGAAGAGCATATAAAACCAGAAAAAGCATAATATGGGACCTTTAAATCTTACAAGTAGCTTCTAATAGGTGCTAATCCTCTGTAAAGAACCTGTGGTCTGAAAGGAGCAGAGCGTTTTACCGCCTGTTTGGTAGTGGCAGTGCGTCTTCTGCGACACATTACATCCCTCAAAAATGTGTGGTGAGTTTGTCTTGTACTCTCACCTTCCCCCCCCCCAATGAGCTGAGACAATATTTCATCCATCCAACAAAAAGTAGGCCTACTGTTAGACTTAGTGTACATTTTAGTTGAAGATTTCACCACTTCATGTCACTGTTCATTAAAGATGAAGGCTGTTTGCTGTAAGTTTTACCCAGCTCTTCGCATCTTCGGAGACAATTAGGCTATGGAGCCAGCAATGTAAACAACCAAACACACTGAAATCAGACACTCGCTACTTTTTTTTTTCCCAGTGTTGACTTTACACCCTAACTCAGGACAGAACTCAAACCTAGCTGGTGCAACAGGGCCCAGGTTTGCATTTCTTTTGCTGTTCATGTTTATAGTTCAGAGAGGATGAACCTGACTGTTTTTCTGAAAATCCCCTGACCTCCCTATGAGCCTCAAAATAAGGCCAATATTTTGTTATACATAAAATCAATGTAATGTTTCTAAAGCTCTTAAAGACATGACATGTATTAATCCATAATGCTGTCGAAGTATCTTTGTCACAGGTGACCTTTGCAGACATCACAGCCCAGAGAAACAATGCTTCTGCAGTATGAAGTCTAATGTCTATTTGTTAATAAACTCTATGTAAATCATAGAACTAGCCATGTTTTACAGTGTGCATGTATGAAGATTTAAAACAGGTTAAGAGGGCTGCTTGATTTATCACTGTTCCTTTCATGATGGAATATTGTTATGGTGAGGTTTACATTTATGATGAGCAGTCAACTTTTTGAGTAAATGTTAAAAAGATGAACTGCATGCTCCAACACGGATGTAACAAAATGAGGTTATGGCAGACAGAAACGAAAGTGCAGAGTGGCCAGACTTCCCACGACAGAGTGAGTCACAGCAGAGGCAAAAAAAAACAAAAAAACAACGAAACAAATGAGAAGGTGTTGAAAAGGGTTACCGAGGGCAGACGATGAGTGTACAAGAAAAATGAGCAAGAACAAATTTTTATTCAAGGCGTATACGTTAACCCATGCTGATTCGGTCTAGTTACTGCGTTCTCAATGACTTGCACTCAAAGACGTACTATTTGAAGGATGCAACAGAGCTCCACGGCTTGCAGAAAGGTTTGTGATGGTTGAAAAAACCTTAAAAAATATTTCAGTTCTTTGTGTAAGACCATTTTTGGCTTTCTCTTTCACCCTCTTTCAAACTCTGCCATGACAGCACTGAGGCACCAGCTGCAATCATTACTGTGGGTTTTGTTTGAACAGAGTCTCTATTTCCATTCTAAAGGCCAAGAAAGGTAGGGTGCTGTGGGCAGGGTGCTGGGTGTTGGTGACTAAAGGGGAGGAGTAGAGAGGGAAGGGAGAGGGAGGAAAGGTGACAGAGTTAGCCAGGCAGGCACACTCTGGCTGGGTGATGTAAATAGCCTTGCTTGTCACCACCCCCCCCCCCCCTCCGCCCGCCTACCTGCCTGCCAACCACACTCTCATAATCTCTGTTGACAAAACAGAGGCACACGGCCCTGCTCTGGCCTTGTGAACTCTCAGCAGAGACATGAGAGGAGCTGCAGCTGCTCGGCTGGGACTACCCACACAGGCGGTGTTGGTCTTCACTCTTTTGAGGGATAATCAGAGAAAATGGTCTCCCCATTGAAGGATTGATGAGATCAGAGACAAATCCGGAGACCTCTGCCAATCAAAGTTGGTCCAACACCGCAGAATAGACTTTGGGAGCATTTCTCCAAACCGATAATTCCTAAATAATTGCTTTCAGTTAATGACACTGTCAGTTTGCCACAGAGCCCGAAATGAATAAGAGCGTTTTTGTTTGTCTCTGTAAACAACTTTTTTTTTTAGTAGGCCGGTCACGATATGAGCAAAGTGTGGGGATCTGTGATAACATTCTTTATTATTGCAATAATGATGAGTGCTATTAGCTACAACTCGGTTTCTATGTGTCTGCTTTTCTTCATGTTTTACACAACGCCTGAGTTTCAGACATGTTTCGCCTCAATCTAACTAAATCCAAAAATCATTTTTATTAAACCACTAAATCAGCAACAAGTTCATCTGAAGGGTATCTGATAGCTAGCGCCACCTTCATTTGGCTGAGAGCATGGCCATTATACCCAACACTCCATCCAAAAGCTAATGGTGCAAATGTCGAATGAGAAGTCGTCGCTGGTTGACTCATTTGTTTCCAATAATTGAGACTGTTGCAATGTTTTGATTGTGAATGCTCATATCACGACAGTGATGAAATTGTGATTTATTGTGGAGCCCTAAGGCAAAGATGATAAACCAACGAATAACAAGAAAAAGACCAACTGTAAAATGTACAACTGCAATATAACATAGAAACAGGAAGTGTCATGGAGTACACAATATTTTGATCTACTATGTGTTCTTGCAGACATACACTTCAACCTACTTCAAGGCTTTCTCTGTTTCATAAAACAAGGTTCCTGTTTTTTTATCACACTTCACTCAATGTTATTTTTTTTGTAAAAACACTGTGATATAGGGAGAATGAAAGCAAGTTCAACCTTGAATCTGCACACTTGAGCTTTAGTTAATACTGTGAGTTAATTCCCATGAGCCTAAACTTCCAACAGCTATGATGAAAACACTCAAACATCAGAATTGATACATATTCAACAAAATTCATCGTATAGCAGAGCGACCAAGTTCATCCAAACCATCCGAAAAGGGAAAATAATGTAACCTGTTGAATATTTCACCAACTGTGAGGTTCAGCTTCCTTTTGAGACGCACACACCTGATTATGAGGTTTTCTTATTGTGCATTGATGATCAAAAATGGCCCCAAAAGACTCGCCTAGATTTTTATCAGAAGAAACTAATTCATTTAGTTGCAGTTGCTTTACATTTATTCAGATGATTCAAAGGTTTTCATGCCAACCTGGGTCTTAGTTGTGCTCAAACTGCCGTCCCACTTTCATTATTTCTGGCAGAAATGAACAGGACAGGACTTTAAGGAATCATTTCTTCCTGTTCATGTCGTATTTGCCTGTAAATGGACTTCCTTCCTGTCCTACCAGCCTCACTCGGCAATCACTGTTGCTATCTGTGCATCGGCATTATGACTGCAAGAGCACAAGCACGTGTGTGACTGCACGTTTAGAAAAAGAAAGTGTGGTTTGGTTATGTCTGGGTGCATTTGTGTGTGTGTGTGTGTGTGTGTGTGTGTGTGTGTGTGTGTGTGTGTGTGTGTGTGTGTGTGTGTGTGTGTTGTCACCTGCAGACAGGGCTAAAAGATTAATGCTCTCTTCCAGCCTCTGTGGCAGGTAGAGCACAAAGAATAATTTGATTTCTCCTCCTGTCTCCCTTCTGTCTTTCCACTCTTCATTTTCTCATCTGCCTGAAAATCAACCCACTCAACCCCTCTTTGTTTTCCACCACTTTCACCTCTTTTCTTTTCGCGACTACTCCACACCTTTCCAAACTCTGAAAACCTCAAACACCTCCGTAAAACATTTGCTTCAGAAAAAAAAAAAAAAACACACGCTGTTCTCGGCGCTCAGGTCAGAATGAGGATGTTGCAAGAATGTGGCAACAACACGAAACTGTTTCTGGCAAAGCGCTCAACCTAAACCCAGCAGGCTGTTACCATGCCAACCATATGGGATGTTAGCCCACCTTGACACGGCGCCGAGATGATGGACGATCAGATCCCCCCTCCCCTGCACTCTGTGGGCGTGGTCGTACGGGAGCTGGTCAATGGAGTCTGGAGAAAAAGAGAGAAAGAGAAAGTTTAACACAATGCTCGTGTTCATTATTGTTTTTTTTTTTAAATAAATAACAAGAAGCTTTATTAATTAGCGGCCTGCAGACACATGCACAGGAAGCTGCATTAACTGCTTAATGAACAGAAGTAACAGAGCTATGTGCTTTTGTCTTTATTACTGCGTTTATTATATGTGATTTGCATCGGCTACACAAACAGCTCCCACACACGCAAGCACACACACACACACACACACACACACACACACACACACACACACACACACACACACGCACACACACGTGCGGACGAAAAGGGATGTTGAGAAGTTTCACAGGAAGCCAAACGGTTGAAACCTGAAAGTGACGACAACACCAAATTTAGTTCGCTTTAACTATAAAAGGTGAAGTCTTTTCCTCTAAATGTGCACCTGATTCCACATGACTGGATTCAAATGTTGAGCTTTGATTGGCAAACATCTTCCCGGCTTTGTGGAATCGGAGCACAGAAAACAGACTATTAGGCTAAAATCACGGCTCTAATCCCAAAAGCACATAATAGGCTAATTTATGTCCATTAAGATCCTGATAAGAAACAATATGTGTGGGTCTGTGTGTGTGTGTTTGTGTGTAATGGCCACACAGAGTTGTTGTATAGCTCAAGTGCTTTGTCTGCACAATCATAAGAGAGTATCCCGTGGGGGTAAGAGAGCGCGTAGCCATGGAGAACGCGGGGTGTTTCCATGACACCCCGTCATCAATGGAGCACGCCGCCAGGATGTCTCATGTTCATCTGTCACTGTGCCTCCATTTGTGGGTGTGTGTGTGTGGGTGTGTGTGTCTGTGTGTGTGTGTGTGTGTGTGTGTGTGTGTGAGAGTGTGTGTGTGTGTGCGATAGAGAGCGACAGAATGTAGGTTTACTTTCATTCTTTAAATGAAGGGTGCACGTTTTAAAGGCAGCATGTTTATTCAAGCCTATAACTTTGTGTGGACATGTGTGTGTGTTTATAACACTGAACTAAAGCAAAACCAGTCTATATTGTGAATGTTTATGTCTCGGCGTGCATGTGTGTGTGTGTGTGCGCGTGTGTGTGTGTGTGTGTGTGTGTGTGTGTGTGTGTGTTTGAGAGCCACTGCATGAAGGTTTAGTCATAATTTCAAACCAAGAGGATGTTTAAGGGTGAGAGTTATTATGTTTGTGTGTGTGTGTGTGTGTGTGTGTGTGTGTGTGTGTGTGTGTGTGTGTGTGTGACAGCCTTAAAATGTAGGTTTACTTTAATTTTTAAGTCAAGAAGAGATGTACGGCTGCAAGCTTAGTTCAGGACAAGCTTTTGTTAGCATGTAGGTTCATGTGTGTACGAGTATGCATTTGCTTGCGTGCATGTGTGTGTGTGTGTGTGTGTGTGTGTGTGTGTGTGTGTGTGAGATGTGTGCATGTGTTTGTGTGATTGTCTCTCTTTGTATGGCTGAACTTATGCCAAGCCAGCCCATGTTGTGTATGTTTTTCTGTGTGTAAGTGCGTGCCTCTGCGCCATTCACCGTCAGCGACCTGACCGCTGGCTGCACCCATGATTGGGAGCAGATGGGGGCTGTCAGTGTGTGTGTGTGTGTGTGTGTGTGTGTGTGTGTGTGTGTGTGTGTGTGTGTGTGTGTGTGTGTGTGTGTGTGTGTGTGTGTGTGTGTGTGTGTATGTGTATGTGTGTATTTGTGTGTATGTGTGTGTGTTAGAGGGAAGGAGGCGGAGGCAGAGAGTGGGAGGGCGCTCTAGTTTAGGTGATGTATGGACTCTCACACACCAACAAAGACCCTCCTTCAGCCGATGTGTTTCCTATTAATTGAAATGGGAGAAAAATAGAGCTGGAGAGCGGCTGCTTAAGGGGCAAGAATTTATTGCACGCTCGTAACAAAGAGAAACGGACTCAATTTTTTTGTGCAAAAGTTTGGAAGGGAAAAATGAAAAAGTCGTTCTCTGTGCACGAGCAGCATTCAATCGTTGCTCCTCTTCGAGCTCACTCCAACACAGCCAATGAAACCAAAGTGAATAAAACAGTAGTTGAAGGCATGTGGTGTTGCTCATACTGTACGTGTAAAGCCTTGAATATAAACCGTGTGAATGAGCTTCACATGCATGTTTACAGTAGGAGTGTGCGAAAGAAATCGTCTAAGAAAATATCTAATTTGTTGATTTAACGATGTGCGAAAATGACGATATCGAGTATGTCACTCATTTAGCAAAAAAACATGAAAACACACTCTGAGAGTCCACACACATTCACTGCATATGAGCCCAGTAACGTAGAACAGATTTGTGCATGCACGTTGAGAATACATGAAGTGTTAACACATCACAACAAGCTATGCTAGCAGAGCTGCCTGCAAGGCTGGAGTTAAAAACGAGTAAACAAAGAGCGACAGGAGATAAAACATAAACATCACCAGCCTCAGAATCGACGTCATTAGAAAAAACGGGTGTAGAAAGCGGTCTCTGTTAAAGACAGCTCGACATATAGCTTGTTTCACCATCTGCCGATCAACCGCCGCGTAGAATACGAAGAATATAAAAAGCTTTTGAGAGTGAGCAGTCGACCACGACCAACCAGCTGCAGGTACCGGCAAAGCAAAAACACACTCAGCAAACCTAGCCAGAGTCTCTCTGGAAAAGAATGACTCAAGACGAGAAGGGCAACAGAAAGATCACACGCTGGCACCAATGACATTGGAAATGCAAATTCAAGCTGTCAAGAGAGATGGTTTCAAACAACGTTTGAATACTTTGGACCCAAGTTACACCCTGAATAGTCTAGGTTTAAACTTTTCGTATAGTAGCTTTCTGGTGGTCTTTGTGTAATATTCTACAAAGTAAATCCTGCAGGCCACTTTGAAATGCTTTACTCATACCTGCACTTGATTGATCTCAATACTTTCTCTGGTGATGTCAGTGTTATACTTGAATGGCTCACTTTGAAGTTTATAGATACAACCTGTTTTTCTTAAATAGCTTGTTTTTCTTAATACCCTTAACATTTGATAACTACTATTAACAAGAGAAATGTATTACAATACAATACTTTTACAAAAACGTTTTTGAGGGATGCAAAATATCGTCAATTAACCTTATTGATAAATTCCCTAAAAATATCAATATATTATTTTTTGTCGATATCGCACTCCTCTACTTCACACAGGCCTTTGTACAGTCCTCTCTCCTCCTCCGTTCGTGTGTTTGTTTGTCTAGTTTTGCTGTTCAATTACTCGTCACCAGCATCTAATCAAGCCCTCGACCTTTCACTATATGAGCGTTTGTGTGCTCGAGCAGCACAATAAATATCTCTAACAGCAGCGTCTTCCTCTCGTTAAAGTAACGCAGTAAAAGCACTGCAGTAAAAGGCACAGGAAGAGTTCACATTTTACAGTGGATGCTCATACACTGGGGATTAACTCCATGAACTGGAACTGCTCGGTATATCATCAGCAGTAGTACCACACAAGCTGAAATAAATGGAGATGTTATTTAGAGTATGTTGTTGGTGAGGTTGCTTTCACTCTGTGGTCAGTTTGCTGAGTTTAAGTTTTGACTTCCTCTTTATAGGTAGCACGATGCTACTGAACTCCCTGTAGATGTATCTCTGTTTACAGTGCGTATTCCTATCTCTAACCCTACACCACGGCGTGCGGAGGTCTAATCAGTGTTGATGAGAAATTAAGTAAACTACAGCAATAATAACCTCAGCATGTCCTTGACCTCACCAAGAAAAGTATGCTAATGTGCATATCATCGTGCTTCATTTGGAGCATGTTTTCTACTGCATGTCTTTCGTATAGCTTAAGGTTGTGCCAAAATCTAAGCAGTCGCAGAAAACTGAACTGTTTCCGTTTAAAGATTGTTTTTATTTTGTGGCTTTTTATGCCTTTATTTGAGAGACAGGACAGAGAGAGTGGGGAATGATATGCAGTGAAGAAGCCACACGGATTCAAACCCGTCCGCCTGCTTCAAGGACAACAGCCTCCGTGCAAGGGGGACACAAACTAACCACTAGGCAACCGGGGCCCCCCCCACTGTTTCTGTTTAATCAGCCAACAAAGGTGATAGGTATATGAAAAGCAAAACTTTTACTCATTTATAACTTCAGTGAAAGTTGCAAACCAACTTAATAAAACTTGATAATGGACTTTAAAGGATTCGTATCCGATAAGAGGATTTGATAATGGATTCAGATTCAATAAAATGTTACTTAGGCCAGAACAGAGCATAATGTAAGTTTGAAACTGAAAAATAAATCTCATGGGTTTCAACCATGGACTGTAAATATTAATAGATGAAGCCTGGGTAACGTCATCCATGCTGTTACAGCAGGGGGCTCCGGAGGCTCATCAGCAGCAGCCGCCCTGCTGGAAATGCTGTCTGAGCACAACTTTCAGTCAACTTAACGACAGGCTGAGAGCTGGAGCTGAGGCGGGTTTTAAGACTCCTGACAAACCGTTACATTGCAACTTCCTGTTAATCAGGTCAGCTACGCGCCTAACTATGGGTAACGCGTATCGTTCATAAAATCTAAACTGATGCATTTAAAAGAAATTCACCCCCACCGGTCAGTGTGTGCCAGTGATGACTATAACTAATCAGACCAATACAGTTTCTTGTACCAGGCTGTTGACATGTTCTTTTCTGCTGTTAAAACAGGCATTCTTTAATGGGGTGTGAATGTGACTTCTGGGGCTCTATGAGCACAGCCTCAAGGGGACCCTCGACCAACTGCAGGATTTTACACTTCCCCATTGGCTTCATTTTCCACACCGGAGGTTGCCACTAGGTTACAACAAAGCTGTTGAAACCAACCCCCTCTCCATCAAGTTTCTCCCTCTGCTGGTTAACAAAAAGTGCTTTACATTTTTTGTTGGGATATTTTTTTTTAGGGCTTCCTGGTGACCAAAATGAGTTGTCACAAACAAACAATGGCTCTCTCACACACACAGTTGTTTCACATGTGGTTCTACAGTACG